TTAATTGCTTTTGGAGAAGCTATAATTTCTAAAACATTTTTGTAATTGTACCAAATGATATCTTCTACGTCTGGTCAGCGCCACCATTTTTTCCACTTCTGGTCATTGCCCTGACAAAGTATTCATTTATCACAGGTGACTACCCACCCCGGCAGCACCATATATCCGAGAATATTCTCTAAACCTTCTAAAGAGATTATACAGGGTCGGAAAGTCCCCATGGTTCATCGGCCGTTACGTGAGAGCGATAAAGAAAGTCATAGAAATCCGTGCGATAGAGAAAGATGGCTATAATGAAGGCGTCTAATAGTCACCGCCCATTTCGCCCTTCCACAAATAAGATCCACTTCTAATCCAGTGTTGCCACATCACAAAAGTTTAAAATATTTGCCGGGAAATCATAGAACCATTTGAAATAAAGAGTTATTTGACAGAACATCCCAACTTTTTATTAAAACGAAATAAATTCATAAGTGTTATCAACTGGTACAGGGTCACCTATTGGTGCGTTTACCTTAACGTGCAAAAAAATGTATACAATCCCATTTTAAAAAAATATCGAAGACATCACATCAGTGTGACAAGAAATTTGTGCGTCAGTATAAAGAAAATAACATCTCATTTAAAAATATAACGAGCGTTCAAATAAAAACGTGGTCGAAGTTGGCTCTGACACATTGGACGTAGGGAGTAGCTTATAGCGACCAACTTAACCTCATTTCTCAACGAGCTGTATAGCAGCTGTCAGTTTCAAATTGATAGCGGCGATATAGCGCTTTGACAGATGACGTTTAAGTTCATTTGCTATACGCTACGCCCTACGTCCAAATTTTCAGAACCAACTTGACCACATTTTTATTTGAACGCTCGTTATATACTTTAGAGGGTGTCCAAAAATGGGTAACCGAGTTATAGCTCGGTACCAATCAAACAGACTGTATAAAAAATAAAACAACAAAAAACTTTATTTCTTCTCAAGAGTTTGACAACTTTCGATTATGACAAATAATATTCTTTATAAAACAATTATCCAACCTCATTTTGACTACTGTTTAAGTATATCATATTTATTTGACAACAACGTGTAAAAACAGATTCATATATTACCTACGTGTTTAACGTGTTGGAAAGGATGTCTGAAGAAGTACGTTAGAAATATTTAGCATTGATTTTTGTTTATAAAATAATTAATCATCTTATTTCTAACCGCTTATAAAATATGTTAGAGAAATATACGTATAATTATCATATAAGTATAAACTGCTTATATTTAAATCATGCAAAAAGATCAACTGCGCCAAAAACAATTTTCTATAAAGGTTTCAAAGAATTTAACTCCTTGCTAAAATAACATTTAAATTCTGTCTCTACATATATGTTTAAACATAAACTTCATGATTTTATAAAATAAATAAAATTAGTATATAGCAAATTGTATTCACATTGAATTTTATGTTGCAATATAATAATTGTATTATACTATAATTATAGATATAAGCTGCATGTGATACTGTGTATAATAGGTATTTCATATTTAAATACATTTTCTTTCTTCCTTTTAATTTCCAGTATTTAAACGGCTTTGGTTCTGAATTTTCATCTGAAGATCCAAGGTGTCCAAATTCACTACCTGTGGGTCAAAATAATCCCCAGCAATGTCCATACGGCCTTTATGCAGAGCAACTGTCTGGAAGTGCTTTCACATCGCCAAGATGTGAAAACCGGAGGACTTGGTTCTACAGAATTAGACCCTCAGTGGGACATAAACCGTTTAAGCTATTCGATAAGGGAAATATTACTCATAACTGGAATGCACTGAATCCAGATCCAAATCAGGTAGGTAAATAACATTCATATTCCATAAAATATATTTTATACATACAGGGTATTCCACGTAAAATGGATTCTTCCATAACTTCGGTAATATCAATAATACATTAATACAAAAAGATGTTCGAAATTCAAATGTTGCACCAAATACATTGTTTCACATTTTAAAACTATTTGCAATTATACAGAATACCCTATTTCCTCTGGGCGTTATTTAACTTCGGAAGTTCGAAATTTTCAAACACGAATATTTTTTTAATGGGACCCTATAGGTAAAATTTGATAGGTATTATTTGCTATTTCTACAATTAAAAAAGGTATGCCATAATAGTAAAGGCATTTTCAAAGCTAAAATGAAGTGTGAAAATGAAAATGAACATTGTTTAACGTAAAAATTATATAGATATTAGAAAAATATTAACAAGAATGTGCGCATTTGTTTCTTATCAAGACAACGATATTTTTTATGAAAACATGATCATATTAAGTCAGCACATGATATAAAGGACACGTACCAATAATTCATAAAAAGAAAAGACGTACAATTATTAGAAAGGCAGTAAATACACTAAAAAGATTATCACATAATCGGATACTGTTCTTTAAATTATCTTTTACGTTATCAAGAATATTAAATATGTCCTTAAAAACTTACAACTTAACGTAAATAAAATCAAAAGATTAAATTTTGCATTTTTTGAATTTAACATAGGGTTCCATATAAAATATCAAAATATCCGTGTTAAAAAACTTCAATTTCCGATGCTTGTAATTTCTATTTCATGTTTGAATTGTATTAAGTACATAATGTTGAAGATAGACTACATGCAAGAAATGGTGAAAACTGCGTCTTGTTAACTATTTTGTTTCAAAGATATTGTTGAGGATGCTCCAAATAGGTACCACTTTTTAAAATTTCAAATATTGCCAAAACGGTACAACTTAAATCGTGCTTAGACCTAATTTTTGTATGTTAAACTGGGACTAAAATTCTACGAATAAAAAGCGCAGTAATACACAGGATGGTCCGTTTGGAAAAATGATGTTAGATAATGCCTAGAAGAATCCCATTTCTTCTGGCACTTGCCTAATAATTTTAATACATGAAAAAATTAATTTGGTGCAACTTTTATTTGAAACATTTTTTTGTATTATTGATATTATCTAAGCTGTGAAAAAGTGGACCCTCAGTAGATGAAACATGAAGAATATCTCTCTCAAAGTTCGAAACAATCGCTAAAAAAATGAAAATTTTTAATCGGAAATAAAGATATGAGAATTATAAATTCGAACAGGACGGAGAAATTAATTTGCAATATGGCTACCTACAGGTAAGGTGATATAGTTGATGTGGCAATATATTTTAATTGTCCACGAAAAAATGTTCCAGTAATGACCATCTCTATCGATTTTCAATAAAAATAAACAAAACGAAAATCTAAATTTTTAGTTTTCATTCATAATTTCAAAACTAAAAGAAAAAGATAGTTTCGTTGATAAAAGAGATAGGTTTCTCTTCGACATGTTATTCGATGTTAGTTTTCGCAATTTTGTCCTAATTGACTAATATTGTACCCTATGGTGCAATTCGAACAATGGACACACGATAGGTTCATTCATCAGTGCGCACCGAGCATATTTTCCATGTTGTGTTCCAGTTCCAGTTGATAGACAGGACGAAGATATAGGTACTTAGTACACACTGAGTGCAAAAGTGTAAATTCAAAAACATTTTTATTTGGAAAAAATCAATTTTTTTCAAAAAAACGCTTTCTTTAAGTTATTTGCTTAAGGAAGTTGTTTCTTTTGCATGTAATTTTACAACTTCAGATCTTATCTTATCAAATAGATAAGGGTTGTATGTCGGAGGGGTGGTGGAATTGTCTTCCACCACGGCACTTAGGCCTTATTAGGCCCCTTGTACAGATAGATAAGGATAATGGTTTTCTGCAACTCTTTCTTCTCCTATAAATTTTTACCATTTCAAACAGTTTTCTCGATATCAATTATGTTATTTATCATATTTTGAATGTAAAGATATAATTGTGATAAAAAATTTGTTAATTCGATAATAAAAACGCCGCTTTTATTTATAGGCTTTTCTTTACACATGCATATGATAGTGGAATTAAAACGTTATTGATTTCACAAGCACAACAAATAAATTCTCGATCGCACGCACTAAATGGCGTCATGAACGATAGCGAACACCCGTTTAAAACTTTTATCTTGTGCAACAAATTTTAATAATTAACAGCTATTAATAACCTCTAAGAAATTTCTAATATTTTCTCTACATAATTATATAAAGGTATAGATTTCCAAGCATTTAAAAAAAATTTTGTAAGTTGCCAAAGGTCCGCGGTTCAAATCGTTAATATGTACTTATTTGCTAGTAACTATTCACGTCGAAATGACTGCTATATCCCTCAAAAGTATTTCGAAGTGACGCTAGAGATCGAAGTTTTGGTAAACGTGAAATCAAATTGAAAAAATATCAATGTTTATATTTTTAGTATAAATCCGAAGAAAGTATAGAAAAAAAACAAAATATCTTCATTCAAGAATTCTTATAATTTTCATGAACAGAAGATTGGATATTTTTGATATGAATTTACAATCGATACATCACTACCTATAGGTAAAGTAAACTATGCAGGGTATCCCAGAAAAGGTCGGTCACCGCTCGACCACAAACTTCTGGGAATAAAATGATGTAATTTTCTTACATACATATTCGAAAAAACAATTTACATTATGTCGATGTTGCGTTATTTCAACTTCCAGAAGAGTTTATAGTTTATAGTCAATCTTAAACTAGTAATGAATTTTAGGGTAACACAAAATTTTTAACAATCTACTGTATTTACAATACTGTAAGTACAGTGATTATGAAACAACTTTTTTCTAATTTAACATATCTATTACTTTTATTATTCACAAGCCCTCGAAAAATAAGAAACATGTACACCATTTTATAAATTTCTAATATATTCTATTTGATTATAAATTTAAAATAATTCATATTGAAACAAAAACTTGCCATATTGTGTTTTTGTGAAAGTTCTATTATTTTAGATGAGATGGAATCCATTTGATGTTCCCAAATCTACAATATCAACTGATTTCTTGGAGGGTATAAATACCATTTGTGGAGCCGGAGATCCAAAAAATAAACAAGGTTTAGCAATCCACATATATAGTTGCAATAGTTCTATGCACAATAGAGCGTTCTACAATGCCGATGGTGATTTTTTAATAGGTATATTTGAACTTATATAAATATTTTTAAATATCACTTTACATATATATTTTAGTCCCACAACTTGGGAAATTACAAATAAAAACCGAATTTGGAAAATTACATTTAAAACCTAATGAAATTTGTGTTATTCAACAAGGAATGAGATATTCTGTCGACATAATTCAACCTTCACGTGGTTATATTTTGGAAGTGTTTGGGCAACATTTTAACTTACCTGACCTAGGTCCAATTGGAGCAAACGGTTTAGCTAATCCCAGAGATTTTTTAACCCCCACTGCTTGCTATGAGGATGTGGATCTGGAACATGAAATAATAGCAAAATATCAAGGCAAATTATTCACATGTATGCAGGACCATAGTCCTTTTGACGTTGTTGCCTGGCATGGTAATTATGTGCCATATAAGTATAATTTAAATGACTTCATGGTTATCAACTCCGTCTCATTTGATCATTGTGTAAGTATCAATATTTTCTGTATTTTACGATATAGGATATTAATAAAATAGTATATTAAAGAACTAAAGAACATCTGCTCTGGACGAGGGATTAAAGACACTTTACATCAGAAGACACTTGAAATAAAAATTGTTTTCTTTAATTACCGTCTCAAATTAGATTAACTAATTGGTATAAACTACAGCTTAAGTTATTTTTTCATTACTATATGTAATGTGACTAATGTGTTTCATTAAAAAATAATAATAATAAATAAAGTTGGGTACGCCTAATATAACCTAGACTTAACTAAACACCCTCTATAACTGAAATAATAATTTTAGTAATTACTAGAGAGCGGACAATGTGTGTCTTTAATCCGAAGAATAGGTCAAATTTTGGTAGAGATGTGTACGCGTTCAAAAATGTATTGTGTATAAACTATGCAAAATATAATTATTATGTATAGCAAATATATCGTATTATCCTCGCGAAGATTTGTACCCTTTATTTAAAATCCATAAATCATGTGATCAGGTTAAATAACCAGAAAATAATTAAGTTAATTTAGTTCTAAAGAAATGAAATGACACACGCGCCCATCTCTAGTCAATCCGTCGACATCGGTTGCGTTTATCGAATTCCTATTGGTCAGAATTCAAACTGCAGCCCTGTTATGAATGGGGCGTGAGTTGGACTATTCTATCATGTGCGTCGCCTGAGGGTATTCGTTACATTGACTGATAATTTCCAATTAAAAGAACGACACTATTTTTAGCCGAACTTTATTTAATAAATATGTAGTATACAATTTCTGATTTTCTAAATATTTTATAACGCCTAAAAATGTATGTACCTTGGAATTTTCGTGAATTATCACGTAAATTTCCAATGCATATCCGACACGCCACTGCGTCATGGATAATGTATCTAGGTTTAAGAATGACATATCTATGTTCAAGGTTAAAGACACAAATTGTCCGCTCTCTGGTAATTACACTATGAAAATTGACGTAATATTTCTTTATGATGTTTTCTGATATACGAAAAAGTTTTAATTTACACGAGAAAAAGATTTGCAATTTACATAAAGTTAAAATTATTGGTACCTAAATAAAACATTCTTGAGTTCGTTCTTTGTACACTCCTCGGTTCGGGTGTACGGACGTGACAGCTGGAGGCGTAGATTATCGCTTTCCCACTACTATGATTTTACGGTGGACGTATTTAGAATATTTAGATTGATTTAAAGGAGCCACTAACATTACAATAATTATATAAATTTCGAATTGATACAATTACACTGGTCGACAATGTCGACATTATTCGTGTAGATTCAGTACGAATAGTCATTTCGCGAACATTTTGGCTCGCTGTAATCGAATCTGTTCTCAGAAATGCTCGATCACCTAAGATTTTTGAGATATCCTAACCCAAAAGTTAAAAAAACGCGATTTTTACACATATTTGAGGTTATATAATATCGTTAGGTAATTTTTTTTACAAAACCAAGAATAGCATCTTAAAGTACAACCATCTCCTTCCCAAAAACTTAGGTACGTATTATATTTAACAATATCATTTCCTTTCTTTCGACGTAACTTTTATTGTTTAATTCAATACTGTCTCAATTGATAACGTATACAGGGTGTCTCACGGTGACGGCCTATTAGAATTATTTCAGAGACTACTTCGATTTGAATTTTGAAAATTTGGGATACCGGGTGTTCGGGCATGCCCTTCTCAACTAAAATAATGGCGTTCACGTACCACTTCCGGTTATACCAGAAGTCGCCATCAACTTGCTTATTTTAAACGGAACACCCAATATATTATTGCAAATTTGGATACTACGTGTTATTTTAGATGGACTTTTATGAAGTTTCCCTATTCCTAAAATTAACCGTTTTCGAGATATTTAATTAAAAAAAAATGGAGAGAAACAGTAATTAGCTTCAAACCATGTGTATTTTATAGTAAGAAAGATAAAGCAACAATATTTATAGGGGGGATAGCTATACCCCTAAGCTTCCCATCCATACTTTCAAAGTGGCTTAATTGCATACAGGGTGCAAGAAATTTAATGCCGAGTTTAGTTAACTTCAAATCTTCATAAGTCGTTTTTTTAAATGTATGTTTTTTCATTGCAACGTCTGTGAATAAATAATAATAATTAACTGGTGACAGTTTAGTTGTTTGTTTTGAAGTTTTGCTAAAAATTCCGCAGCTATCCTCGCAAGAAATTACATGATTTTAGGTGATTACACAAAAAATAATAGATAACTTAAAAACTAGAAGAGATAGGTATAGGGAACCCTGATATCGTTCGAAAGAAAATAAAATTGTGTATCAGAATATAGAAAAACATACAGGGTGTTCCATTTAAAAAACCGACTTAAGAAGGTTTGAAGCTCGGCATTAAAATTTCTAGCACCTTGTATGCAGTTAAGCCACTTTGAAAGTATGGATGGGAAGCTTAGGGGTCTAGCTACCCCCTCCCCCCGTAATTTTTTTGCTTTATCTTTCTTACTATAAAATACACATAATTTGAAGCTAGTCACTCTCCATTTTTTTGAAAAAAATTAAATATCTCGAAAACGGTTAATTTTAGAAATAGAGAAACTAAAAAAGTCCATCTAAAATAACACATAGAATCCAAAATTGCAATAATATATAGGGTGTACCATTTAAAATAAGCAAGTTGATTGCGACTTCCGGTATAACCGGAAGTGGTACGTGGACGCCATTATTTTAGTTGAGAAGGGCATGCCCGAAAACCCGGTATCCCAAATTTTCAAAATTCAAATCGAAGTAGTCTCTGAAATAATTCTAATGGGTCGTCATCGTGAAACACCCTGTAGATTATAAACTTATAAGTAAGTAAGTTCTTTAAACGCCAGTCCTGCCCGCAATTAAGAATCTCTAAGCCCATCACATTGAGTAAAACACACTTCGTTGCAGCACTTAAAACATTCATTTCTGAAGTTGTAGACGTTCGGGATTAGCATAGAATTTTGAGTAATTTTTATCAAATCGATATAATTTTGGTATCATTACAAAGCTAAAAGATAGACCCACTTCCCTCCTGTAAGTAATTTTTGATTTAAACCTTTATTTTTAAGTAAATAAATTGTAAATATGACGATTTCGTGCACGGTTTATTCTTTAAATTTAAACAATTAAAAACTAATTTCGGCCGCTAAGTTTATTCATTTTCCAAATAAGTGCTATGGGCCGAGCGCATAAAATGGGTTTATTTCAAGCGCATGGGAAATTAGCCTCAAAATATTTTGATCAATTGACGATTTAGCTTAACCGACACACATTGTCTACATATCTGTATATTTATAACAATAATTACCATAATTTCAATAAGACATTCTCCTACCCTTCTTCAAAACTCATTAGACCAACCTGAAACCTGGAGCACCCAGACTGGGGCTGACGATGGACCAGTGACTTACGTGGAAACTGCACATCGTGGAGACGGTGGCGCGAACGGGGGCCACCAGGGCTAAGCTCTATCCCTTTCTCAAGGGTAGCAACACCCTTAGCCTAAGGCCCTAAGGAATAAGCGAACGTTTATCAAGGTGGAAAACTACGCGCGGCCACCGCCTCTACCTTATACGTAAGAATTGCAGATATTTAAATGATTCTCAGAACTTAAAAAATGTTCAACATCAGTGAATGAATACATGGTATACAGAAAACTGCCTTCCCCTTACCTTAAGTAAATGTAACATAATGTCCTTCTCTAGAATGACTTGTCCTAAAATCTATGATTATAGGATTAACAATCACTCTCTTACTCATCCCAATTATACAGGGTGATTCAGTCATAATGTCATTAATTTTAAGAGCAGATAGAGAAAAATGAGTATAATACAATGGCGTAATAAAAAAAATTTAAATGCATATTTAAGCTGAAAAAAAATATTTTCAAATCATTACTTAACACCCTTTCCAGGCTGTTACTGACCGGCTGACGTCAGCTGGTTATTCACAGTTTGCGCACGGCTACGATATGAACAGGGCGTCCTAGATGCAACGTTGCCATATTTATATATTTTCGCTCATATAAAGACAATAAATAAACGGTTTGCTCACGTCAGCCAACAATAATTTAAAATGCTATAAATTATTTTTAATAATTATGCAATCAACATATTAAATTGTTATTGTTGCCCAGCAAGAACCTCGAGGAGGTCTGAGCATGCTTTGCTAAAAATCAGTTTTTATTAACATCATAATGTTAATTTCTTAATTTGCTGTAAGCCTTCGGGCGGCGGATACGATGGAATAAACCAGGGTTGTTACGTATTTCTTCAGCTACATCTTCGATACGATTCCGCAACTGCTCCACATTCGCTACCTCGGTGTGATACACGACAGATTTCATATAATCCCATATACAAAAGTCCATAGGATTATGGGCCCTCCTTTCCCTATCCACCGACTGGGACATTGATCGTCTAAAAATCCACGGACATCGCGAGCAAAATGGGCCGGAGCTCTGTCATGCATATACCACATAAGGTTTTCAAACAATTCTACTAAAAATTGAAAGTAACGCGGCCCATTCAGATGTTCAGGTAGAAAATGCGGCCCAATTAAACGATCGCCATATACTTCTGCCCATATTGATCCATTGACACCAAATCTTCTGTGAAAGCTAAACCGACGAGTAGTATGCGGGCTTTCATCTGACCAAATGTGACTATTATGGATGCAAAGAAATTAGTTCTGTTTCACTTTAAATAAAATTCAATATTGAAGTTACAAAACTCCAAGAGTTCAAATAATTTAAATTTCATTTCATAACATTTCAATTTCATTACAGAAATAATGACATAAAAAACCAACACTCACTAGATAAATTATAAAGAGAGGGTGAAATGTATGTAGTATTTAAATATTGACTGTAAGTAATAGAAGATAAAAAAACAATCGGACGAAGACAAATAATCAACTCGGTACGTGTTTCCGACCAAGGCTAACCTATTTCTAGGTCACTGATCTTCTAATTTGCACGTGCACTATAGTCTAGGAGTCTCATAGGGTTCTGTTCAGGGTGCCACGGCTGCAAACAACTTATTCTTAACTATTTTGACCTCCTCAATCCAAAAAACTGGGTCGCAAAGCCTGAAAGTGGTCAGTTTAATTGTTATCAACAAATTAAATGTTTAAATGGCTGTAAAAAGTTTATTTTTATAGCTAGTACACGGAACCCAATCTGGCTCCTAGACTAATACGAACTGTAGTAGGATCGTATTCCATGCAAAGTAGAGCAAAAAGTTGTCGGTCTTTTATCAAAGGAAAATCGTGTTATCAAATTGAATGTAATGAATAGGGATGATTGTTTTCGAATGTACCGTTATTACAATTTATCATTTTAATATTATTAACGTTTTCACGTTTTATAATTTATTATGTTAAATAATACACAGTTTCAGTATTTCAATTTATTATTCAATATGCAGTTGCGTATAACCAAGGTTTACATAATAAATGTAAACTTTAGTGTAAATGTAAACTTTGGTGTAACCTAGGTAGGTACTTATTGTTTTTGAGAAAGTAATATGTTCTTTACCTGTTTAAAATGCCAGCACGAGTAATACAGCATTCATCCGTCCAGAGCACTTTGTTAATAAAGTTGGGTTCTGCTGCAATTCGATTTAGGAACCAATTGCAAAATTCAAGACGATTAGGGAAACCAGCTGGTTCTAAAGCTTGAACTTTCTGAAAATGGTACGGGTTGAGTGAATTCTCGCGCAATATCCGCCAAACTTTGGTTTGTGATATCTCCAATCGTGTTGATATTGTTCTTGTGGAAATAGTAGGCTGCTGCTCGACTACATTTAAACAGCCTCTATCACATTTTAGTCATTTTGGCGATGTCCTGCACGATCTCTGTGCGGTATGATAGAATCCGTGTCACGAAGACTTGTACAATTGTCCGCGAGCTTGGGAAGTTCTTTCAATCAGGGAAACGCTTGCGATATTCAATTGCAGCGGCATTTGCGTTCTGTATACACTCTCCGTATAAATCGCCATATCCACATATTCGGCATTCGTATACAAAGCCATCACGACCGATACTTTAAACAATTGGAATTCATCCAATCCACATCCCCTCTCCATCTTTATGATGTGATAATGTGATGTTCACTCCTTTGCGGGAAAAATGCGAGACATATTGAGGGTGGTAGATTTGAATAAACGCTTTAAATTGTTAATGGTTTTGTAACGTGTGTAGTGTATTTTGTATATTCGGGTATTTAGTGTGCCGACTTTTTTTATTTGATAAAATACGGTGTGCCTACGAACCTCTGCTTTATTTATTTTCTTTTAACGAAAGTTGACTTGGAGAAGTCAAACTTGTTAAAACATTTTGCACTAAGTTTATACAATTATTAAAATTATTTATAATAAAATGCAGCATGATCCTTTTTTTACTTGCATTTTATTGGTTTCGTATGTATCCGTATACTAAAGCGGATTAAGTAAATGTGAACCACAGATTATGATGTGAACTTGGCAACGCTGTTCGCTTCAGCTGACGATTTGTTCGTGACATTACGTTACAAAATTTTCCGAGCATCCGGGCATCTGACAGGGCCGCCCTCTAAGCGGAAGTTATGGGTTGATTTCCTTCATTTTTAAAAGTCGAGTAAAAAATTTTTCCGATTTTCTGTCTTTCTTAAGCCTTCCAAATACATGGTTAAAATTAATGACATTATGACTGATTCACCCTGTATAAAAGATTTGGGAGTAACGTTTGATCAAAAATTATCTTGTCATGAACACATGCTCAATATCTCTTCAACATCTTATAGAAGCCTTTAGTTTGTGATCAGAAATTGTAGAGATTTACAATAGTAAATTTACATAATTGTTTTGTAAGATCTCGCTTGGAATATGCTTCAATAGTTTGGTATCCTCAGTATGTCTATAAAAATAACTTCAGAACTCAAGGAATATACCCCAACATTGGATTTTCCCACAATATTCTTTTGGACATGTTTAACTGTAAGTCCTTAGAGACACGTCGAGATATGCATTCTGTTGTTTTTAATCATAAATTATGTGTATGATTGTCCTCAAATTTTGGAACGTTTTAACTTCTACGCTACTCGAATATGATGTATCTCGAAATGCCTAATACTAATTTATTATTGTCATCACCAATTTGTCATGTGTGAAAATTTGCAACAGCCTCCATCATAATATTGATATTTTTTTCTTGTAACATAAAATCAATAACGAACCTATTTTAATTGGCATTTGTTTTGTTATTCGTTTTATATTGTGTCTTTATGGGCATTTTTCATTCTAGCTTGTGTATATGTATAATGTTTATCGTATTTTATTATATTTTACTAAAGCATATGACTGTTTTACACTACTGTTATTTTAATTAATGTAAAATACTTTATTAAGTTTTATTACATTTGAATTTATTTATAGTTTTTTTTTCTTCTAATTGTTTTACCAATTGTTACTGTCATTTTTCTTTTTTATATTACATATTGTGTTTCCACCCATTCAATAATTGAATATTTTGTGTTGAATGATGTATCAAATAAATGAATAAAATAAAAATAAATAAATATTCTACGCAACTTACAATACACGAACGCCACCCAGACAATAGGATTAAACGCCGAAAAGCGTTTTGACGCGGCCATGAGACACGACAATCCCCTTCTCGGGCAAATCGTTGACTACTTACCCAACGCGACAGACGAACATAAACGACATAGACACCAACTTCTCGACCCGGGGTGATTAAACCGTCGAAGAAAGCAGCGAAAAGGCAAGAAGAACGTCAGGAGAGGCACCCTTCTGAGGGGGGTCAGCAGGACAAAGTGTCTACAGCTGCTTAATTTGTGTTCTGTTTCAGTTACTCTATTGAATATATTTTTATTTTTTTTATTTTTTATATTTTTAGGACCCCTCAATTTTTACTGTCCTGACATGTCAGTCTGAGAAAAGGGGCACAGCAATAGCAGACTTTGTCATATTTCCACCTAGATGGTCTGTTCAAGAACATACCTTTAGACCTCCATATTATCACAGAAATTGTATGTCCGAATTCATGGGGTTGATTTATGGAGAGTATGAAGCAAAGAAAGGAGCTTTCTTACCAGGCGGTGCTACCCTACACAGTATCATGACTCCTCATGGTCCCGACTTAAATTGTTTTGAAGGTGCTAGTAAGGAGGATTTAAAACCTTCTAGAGTTGCAGATGGTACACAGGTATTAATCTATTCAGTAAATAACGAGTAAATAATAGGATGTTGAATAAGTTCTCGATGTTTTTTCGTGAAGTAATGCTTTGTTTAAAAAAAATAGTAAATAACATATTCCTGAAAGTATTTTCCATCGCTAGCTATTACTTTTTCCCATCTTTCTAGCAGGATTTTATTTGCATGTCGGAAAACGACATGTCTTTTGAGGCTATCCAAGAGTCGACCCATTTTTTGACATGTTCATAAGAATGGAAGTGCTACTCAACCAGGCCTTGTGCCATCAATCGGAACAAATAATAATCGGAAGGGACACTGTCTGGCAAATATAGTGGGTGGAGTCGGACATCCCATTTAAGCGTTTCCAAATAGCTTTTCACCAGTTTTGCAAAATGTGGCCGAGCGTTGTCATGCTGCAAAATGACTTTATCGTGGCTCTGCTCAAATAGCGGTTGTTTTTCCTCCAATGCTCGGCTCAAACGCATCAACTGTAGTCGATAGCAATATGCCCTGATGATTTTGTTCGGTTTGAGCAGCTCATAATAAACATCAGCTTGGAACCATGGATATTCGGCTTTGCGAACCATATGTTAACTCATGCTCGAACATTCCCCACGATTTTCTATGCTTAGGATTATCATATTTGAATCAACCTTAATGCTTTCAAACAACTGTTTTATGATCAACTCCTAATGATTCTGCAAGTTCAACTAACGACTGACATGAGTCTTCATGAAGTAATCCTTCATCTTCAAACTGTTGTAGTGCGTCAGAGCGTTCTTATATTCAACATCAAAATCATTATTTTTTTAAGTTTCTAAACATGTGTGCCAAAGGCCGATTCAATTGACATTGAAATTGTTGCTTCAGGTATCTGTTAATTTTTTTTTTTTGTAATTAATTGTTTAATTGCTAAATGTTAATTTTAGAAGGTAATATAGTAGATATACCTAGGCCCTTTACAACTAACAAAGTAGGACGTGCAAAACAGCATTATAAACAAATTGTCCCAGAGTCAGACAAAGGCCGTCCAACTTTTTGTCACTCAAAAATCTGAACTTCCAATAAGAAATTATTAAACTACGGTCAATTCTACATAAAAAAAGTATACCTGTTAATAATCGAAAATCTTAATCATTTTCGAAATAAATAACCTTGATATAAATCCGCTAGATTTTTATTTCTGGGATAGGTAACGTTAAATCTTTGGTTATAAAGATGTTATAAGCACTCGAGAATAGCTGTGGGCAAAAATAGAAGAATCTGTTAACACTATCAGAGACCAATAAAGAACTCTATTCAAAGTCAGATAGAATTTTAAAGAGAGGAAGTCAATGGTGGTCACTTTGAGAATTCGTAAATTAGACGTAAGCATATTAAAATCAGCTGTTATTGTGTTTGTCTTAATTCATAATTAAATCTACGTATTTCAAGGCCTACTCTGAAACAAATTTTCTGATTTAATTTCCGCTGAAATCCTAAAATTGTAAATCGTCTTTATTTCGAAAACGGTCAAGATTTTCGAAACTTTTTTTTATTTAGAATTGAACGTAGTTTAATAATTTCTTATTGGAGGTTCAGATTTTTGAGAGACAAAAAAGTTTGATATATTTTTACTCTGACAGAACACTACAAGGAGCACCCCCTAGAACTAATTGCAAAATAGTTATCATTTTCGTAATACAAACTTTCAAGACAATCGATTCAAAGATGCTTAAGATATTATAAAAAATCTAAAATATTCCGATAAGGCATGTTTGGCTTAATCGCTCTGTTTTGAAGTCGGCAATTAAGCTCTGTTCTGTTATTAATTAATCACCCTGTATATATAAGGTGGCACCTAACTAATGTTACATACTTCAAGGGTATAATCTAGGACCCAAATTGGTGTCGATTTAATCGAACTTGCTTAAACGAAAATGTCGCAAAAAAGTTACAGGGTGTTAAAGTTTCTTTTTTTATTTCTTGTTTTCTCCTTAACTCAGAACCCAGTCAACCGATTTGAACAAAATTTGCTGCTGCTTAGTTTTTCTTCATGAAGTATGCAGTGACTATGTTCCTATTAGGTTAAATTATACAGGGCGTTCATTTTATTACAACCCTTTGTGAATATTTTTCTGTAACTTTTATGTACGTATAAATTTTTACACGCAACTATCAGAAATAGGTAAAGAATTTTATTCTACACAAAAAATGTATACCTAGCAAAAATCGAAATTATGCTCGGTTATATTACAGAAAGACATTACTCGGAAAGATATTACAGAAAATATTTATTAACACATACCCCATATGTTTTGGAAATAACTACGTATCCATAATAAACATAATTAGTAACATAATAAACTGAAAGGTGACAGTAATAAAAAGTCTACTAATTTATAATAAATGTTCTCTTCGACACATTTCCTTAAATGTTTTATGAAACTATTGAGAATAGGAAACAAATTATATGTTCGTCTAACCTGTCGTACGACATCTTTTATTATATCCTAAATTTCTTCTCCCGTTTAGGTGTTACAGAGTTGTAAACAATTCCTTTCAAATTACCCTAAAAGTAAAAGTCTAACGGATAAAAATCCGGACAGCGAGAAGGCCAAGGAAAGTCACTAACTCGACCAATTCAACGGTTTAGAAATGCTTAATTTAAATGATCGCACCAAATGGCTGTAATGAGCAGGAGCACCATCGTGCATGAACCACATTTGTCGTCTAGGAAGTTCTTGCCGAAAGAATTCCAAATAATTTTGGCCGTTCAACCTTGTAGATAGAGCAATAGGCCTCAAAATAAAATTTTCTATAATCTCGCACCGAAAATTCGTTTTGGAAGTGATGCTCTGTTATTGCGTTCGCTCCACACATGAAAGTTTTTCCAATTAAACACACCTCTACGGGTAAAAACAGCTTCATCTGTAAAAGCAATTCTCCCGAGAACAGTGTGATCCCTGTTATGTAACTGGAGAAATCGTTCACAAAATGTTAATCTTAGCGGGCGGTCTGGTTCAACCAAATTTTGTACAGGGTGAAAATGGAAACATTGTAACTGCTGCGTGTGGAGTATAGTTGAAACGGTTTTACGTCCAACTTCTGTGACTGCTGAGAAACGACGAATACTAATTTCGAGATTTTCTTCTACTCTTTCTAGAATTTGTTCTTCGTCTTGTACCCTTTTTTGAACGTACCTTTCATTTCGCGAATTAGACCGAAAGTTTCCAGTTTCTCCTAATTTGGTGAATAAAGCAGCAAACAATGTATGAGAAGGCTGTCTGCGATTCTTCATATGTTCTCTTAGCAGTGCGTCCACAAAAATGTTCCTGTACATATATCACCATCATCATTTCATTATTCCTAAATTCATTGTGACGAGGCAGTTTCAGAAACAAACTTTTGCAAAATGCAAACTTAACAGTGACTTATCGAAATTGTCACGTTGTTATGGATACGTAGTCATTTCAAAAAAATATGGGGTATGTATAGACAACCTAGACTGTCTGTATCTAATTCCAATGCACGGGTATACCTCTGTCGGCAACCTAAATACAATGTTAAAGTTTTGGGAGATATAAACAGTTAATAAACAAATAATAACCGACGAGGAAAGAAAATGCGAAAATAGATTTGTAAATTCTGTATCTCCTGACAAGACAGGTTGATACTGGCCTACCAGTAATCGATAATAAATTAAGTTTGTTAGGCAATTCTTATGATTTTCTTTACAGGTGTTTGTTGACTCTAAAACGAAGATTTGCAAACAATTTATAATTGTATGAAAATTACAACGTATTAATGAATATATTCGTTTAGGCCATACGAAAATTATTGACATAAATTTGGATGATAAGATTGATAACACGTTTTATATACCACAGCATGCGGTCTTTAAAGAATCTAGCTCCACAACGCAGTTGAGAGTGGTTTTTATCGCCTCGGCTCGTGGTATAATACTTCAGGAATATCATTAAACGATTTGCTTTCAGTAGGCCCCGTAGTGCAACCGGATTTATTTACAATATTATTACGATTTCGGTCATACAAATATGTTATCACATCTGATATTAGTAAAATGTACCGCCAAGTTATGGTTAGAGAAATATAATTTGTAAGTTGGTATGCTCAAAATCACGTATGGCTCCATTAGAGATAATATCGCTACCCCGCTACTATCGCTATAACGATTAGAATTGTGTGGTGCTGTATTACTCACTCAATTGATGTGCAAAGTAAAAATAAACTAATATAATTAAGTAAAAAATTAGTGGATTCGATTTTTTTGCATAATCACCTCCGTGAGATGTCCCTGAATGAGGATCAAAATCTTACCGGCCGGTAATCTGGTCACAATTTTTTTAAACAAATTGCAAAAATTACTTGTTTTCCTCCGGAAATGTATTTTGGGGTATTCTAAACAAAATAGTTTCTATGCACTATGCTCCTAAAATCAACGGTTTCTGAGTTATAAACAATTTAATGTACGAAAAAATGCAAAAACGGCCATTTTCAAGACTCAAAAACAATAGCAAAAACTCAAGTTTTTGATGTTACTAAAATTTAAAAGTAATCTTTAAACATACCTTGA